GTTTTAATTGATTGAAACGTGTTTTAATCGATTGAAAAAGCTTCGATCGGTCATAACTCAATTCTGATCGATCATATCTGATTCTGATTGGTCATAATTGCATTCTGATCGATCATCCTGAACACTAAGTGGATTTAATCGATTAAAACCAAGTTGTATCGATTAAAATACTGCAAAAACGCTTCTCTTAACATTTTAAGTGTTTTTAATCGGTTATTTGAAGCTTTATCGGTTAAAACATCGACGAAGGTTTTCAAAACTTTCTTTAATGAAAACAACTAGGTTATTTCGAAATTATATCAGTTAAAAACTTGTTTAAGAAATCTTTTGTTAAAATACTTTGTTGTTAACTGCTTAAACGTTTTTAGAGGCATTTTGCAAAATCTTTTAAGTGAAGAAACCTCATGCAGCGAGAAAAGATGAAAATGATTATACCTAAGCATAGCTGCGGACACACTAATCCCTCTACTCTTTTATCTAAGTGACTGTTGACCGCTACAAAGTTGACTTTGACTTTATCTTTGACTTCATCAAATCAATAAGATCTTTGCCAGAGTATTTCAATAAGATCGTCATCACTTTCATTACGTACGTTCATTCTTAATTTCCAAATGTTTAATACAACTTAAGTTTATGAGTTTTTCTCATTACAGGAAATAAAGATAAATTAAAATCCTAATATCCCAAGAAAAGTTAAGTTGCCCAAATGGTTTAGTGAAGACATTATAAGCTTTGGGTCTTGGGTTCAAATCCCCATTGTAGCAATTAATAATAATAATAATAACTAAATCTTCTAGTTGGGCCTCCTAGCTCTCCAAACATTTTATGCATGTGATAGGGCTAGACTCCTCCATGTTTGGAGCTTTTAATAGTTGGGTCTTTAGCAAATTGGTCACTTTGTGTTGCAATGCCTCTTCTGCTTTTCTCAGCCTGCCTCTTGTCATAGTTCTACCTAAGTCTTGGATTGGATCTTGATCTTGATCCTTCTCGTTATGGGCTTGGGCCTTTATGTCCACATCAGTCTGATACCCTACTGCTTACAATAAATATCAAAGGGTCCACGATACTTACCACCATTATCAGTATGAATGTATTTCAACTTCTTACCTGATTGTCTCACAACCAAAACATGAAATTCTTTGAACTTTTCAAGTACTTGATCCTTTCTTTGTAGTGGATAGACCCATAACTTCTTGGAAAAATCATCAATTAAAGTAATAAAGTAAAGTGCACCACTAAACAACTTTACTTTCAATGGGCCACAAACATCAAAATGCACCAATTCAAGCAACTCTGACTTTCATGAGGGAGGATGCTTCTTAAAGGATACTCTAGTTTGTTTACCAGTCATGCAATAAGAACATTTCTCCAATTGTATACTCTTCAATCCCAAAAGCATATCCTTTTTAGCTAAGCAATTAAGTCTTTTTTCACTTATGTGACCAAGCCTTCGGTGCCATAAAGATGTCTCCATATACATAGCATTTACATTGTCCTTAGCAACTAAAGTTTTAGTTCAATATAATTTAGAATTTTCTCTCCTCTAACCATGACCAAGTTACCTTTAGAGAGTTTCCATAACACGATCATCATTATGATAATTCTTTCTCTCCTTATCCTTCTTGTCTTTGTTATCATTTTTCCACTTAAAGTAGTATTTTTGGATGTGTCCAAGTTTTTTACAATAATGACACTTCATATTCTTGTATCTTGTCTTGAACTTGTTCCTGCTCTTGTCTCTACCACCCTTTGGTTCCTTTTTCTGACCTCTCTTCCTATTTTCAGTGACAAGCACTTCAGACTGAGATGAAGAACCATGTGTCTTCCTTCTCATCTCTTTATTAAGAGCACCACTCTTTTTCATTTAGAAAAAAACAATGTCGTTAGGAGCTGAGTTTGTAATTGAAACCCAAAACCGAGATGAAGAATCACGTGCTTTCCTTCTCATCTCTTCATTAAGAGCACCACTTTTTACCATTTGGAAAGAAACAATGTCGTTCGGGGCTGAGTTTGTAATTGAAACCCGAAATATCTCCCAAGACACTGGTAGAGTATTCAGTAGACATAGTTCCAAAATTACATCATCAAAATTTATAACCATTCTTGATAGTTGATCTACTAGCCCTTGAAATTCATTTAAGTGATCTGAAATGAAGAACTCTCCCTGTACCTCAAATTTATCAAACAATTCAACAAATATAATTTATTATTGTCTGACTTAGAAACATACAAGGATTCAATCTTCTCCCACAAAGTTTTAGCATGTGTCTCATTAGCAATGTGATTATAAACATTGTCTTCTACATCTTGCTGAATAAAATCGCACACATATTGGTGCTCAAAGTCACATTCTTCATCAGACATAGAATTCAACTTTTGTGTAACAAAGACATGAAGATGCAATTTCTTCACAAACAACAAATCTTTCATCTTGTCTTTCTACAAATGATAATTTGTACCATTTAAAACAATCATCTTTGTATTTGCCTCCATCATTCAAGCAAGTAACTATAGCTCAAAAAAAAAATCAAGAGCTCTCATACCATTAATAGGAAAAAATAACACAACAACCTAAAAATACTAAATTATGTTGCGGAAATAATTTCCCTAAACTTGCATAAATATGTGAAGAGTAACAACAAAAATAATCATAATAGAGAACACCGATATTTTTTAACGTGGAAAACCTCCTCAATATGAGAAGTAAAAATCACAGGCACATGTTAGTCAATCAAACTTCACTAAGAGTATAAATAAAATACAGTCAAATCAAAATACACAAATAAGTCAATATATCAAAGTAACATTGCTCTCAAATTAAATAACCAAGAAAAGAAATCTAAAACTCATCCACAATTCGAGACTTATATCTCCAACCAAAGAACTTCAATTGATGATCGCAACGGTCAAAATGAAGATCTTTATGGCGCGAACCTGTTGTTAAAAATTTCAGTCTGATCCAATGGTGAACTAAACAAAAATTGTAATTTTACAAAAGCGGCTCAATAAATAAGTGAAATTGTTTCTTTTTTTTTTTTTAAGGCCTGCGAAATGTCCCTCTCTATTGTGACCTACAATACCCTTTTCCACTTAAATTAAGTAAGATAAAATAGGCTTGACTACGAAAAGTTCAAACTAAAATAACACTTCTATCATCTCCTTCTCCATCTCTACGTCCTTTGTTGCATATGTTCATGCTAAAAAAATATATATGTAAAAAAAATCAATAAGTAAATAACTCAATCTTGATTAATTTAATTATAAATAATTTGGGCATTATGATTTGATCACGATAAAGTGTTTGATCTAATTAATACTAAATTAGCTGTCATGATCAAGTATATGATCGGATACTAAATGAGTTATATCTTGTTCTGAAAAAAGATGAGAGGTCTATCTATGAAGACATGCCCATGCTTAAATCAATAATAAGAATATGTGTTTAGATCAAATTTTATCTCTAATATAATTTATAAATTTATTATCAGAAATATTTTAAATAATAAAAACACCTATAAAATACTAATAATTTATTTTTATTATGTTATCATAATAATATGTTATTATATTAATATTTATTTAAAAGGTATTAATTTAAGAGAATATGTTCATTATAATTAATTATATACAATAACGGGTGCATTAAATTAACTATTTAAAACATTAACCTGAATTTATATTCTCCGTTTGATTAACATTTTATAATCTATTAACAATATATAGAGACCAATTAACTAACTTTATTTAATAATTGACCCCATCAATTTATTTACAATCTCATAATTTATATAAATGATGTTAATTAATTAAATATTTAATTATCAGTTTATAAAATTAAAATGATATTTTTTTAATAGTTAATTGATATCTATCGTCAATAATTATTTTAACATTTTACTATGATGTATGTTTACAACTTGGGACACGATTCAATTATATTTATTTAAAATTAGGATTTACCTCATAATATATTCATTCCACTTTCAACATTTTACGCTCATGTATGCATATAAATCAAACTTTTTTTCTTATTCCTTTCTTGAAAATATTCTTCTATCCTTTAGTATGCTCCATTTTTTTTTATTCACTTTGAATTGTACACCAAGAAAACAAAATAAGAACAAATATTGCTTCCTTTTTTTCTCTCTTTACAAAATATTTTATTTAGATGGTATATTATTTAATTATAATTAGTATAACATTTCTAGCATTAATAACAGTAACTGAATAGAGAACAAATGTTTATAAGTAAAAAAAAAAACAAGACATAAAATATAACTAGTAAATATTTTACATAATAAAAAGAATAACTTTATCCATAAACTATGAATAAAAACATACAAAGATAACAAATCTCTAATGATTAGAAAACCTATTAAAGACCCCAATAATTTTAAAAGGATCAATTTGTTATTCATTGAGCTTATATCAATTTTCTGTTAATAATTGACTCACTATATGCATAATTTATTCAATTCATTTAAATATAAAATTAACTAAATTTTATAATATAATATAGGATTAAATATGTTTATAGTAGAAAACTGATTTCAATCCTTCAACAAATTAGTTCTCCTACTTTTAAAAAACTATAAATTTAATCCTTTAATAAATTTTATAATAATAAAAAATATTACTAAATATCAAAATATAGATATAAAGAATAATTAAAATTATATTTAACACTAGTTAAGGTAAAAAAAATAATTACATATTTTCAAAATTGGAATGATAGGATTTATTTATTATGTAACTCAAATTAATTAATTAATTAATTAATTAGAAATTATAAAACTCTTAATGTAAATAAATATAGATCTAAAGTTTTAATACAGTGAGTAGCTCAAAATGTGCAGTGAGTAGAAATTCTACATCATTATCTGTTTCTCATATATGTTCTGATATTCCAAAACAAAACACTATACATTTACGTAATAAGAACTATTGTTCTAACAAACGCATACATCTCATAGATTCACGAGTGAGAGAGGAGAAGAAAACTATTTCCTGGATATGTTGTGAAGTATGGTCTTGAATTTGTCAGCATCACATGTGATTTTGAGCACTCCATTTTGGTATCCATACTCTTTTGCAGATTGCTCCAGTAACTCAACAATGGTGAGATGCTGAATTGCTTTAATAGTGACCCAAATCTTCTCCACATCTTCTTTCCTTGTGCCTACCAGCACTGGAACATACCCTCTGCGACTTCCACCTTCTTCCATCTCCTATTTTCTCTTTTTTTTCTGCTTTCTACTTATGCTGCATGTTGGAAGCAATATTTATATCAGTTTTCTGGTGTGAACACATAAAACACTTTTTAAGCCTTTTTTTTTTAATCTGTGTGTGCAGATCCACTTGTCGTAGAAATAAGTATTATTAAATTATTTTTGGTCAAAGTTATATATATATATAGTTGTAGATACTATTGGTTAATGATTGAAGTTAATTGAGATGTATGAGTATATTTGAACTAAGACAAAAAAATATGTCAATCGTACCGATCATGTGGTCATTTTCAAGTGCAAGTGGCTTACCATATAGGTATAATTCATTGACTTTATGAATGGTAAGGTATAGCGATATGTGTATGAATCATTGAATTATTTTCACTTACCATTAACTTGTATAGACCAAAGGAGAACATAGATCCTTGACTAATAATCATACATGTCCACACTAACTTTGAGGATAAATATGAATCCAAACCTTTCAACTAAAATAATACTACGAATGGTTGGATTTTTTCAAAGGAGTTAATATAAAAAAAAAATATTTATAAATATGATTACAAATTAGTCAAATATAAAAGAAGGAAATTTGTGCGCAGACTCTTTTATATGATGATATGTTATACCTAGTTTTATAAGCTACAACCCTTTTAGAAATAAAAATGATATTCCTGAGTTTAAATTTTCTTTAACTTCGTTATTTTTCTATTCCATGAGTTTGATTTAGTCGCCTCATTATTTGTATTTTGTATTTTTTTTTATGTTAATAAAATTTTGATGTGTTCTAAGCACGTCATTTTAATTATATATATAATATTATCTTAAACCTAAAATCTTAAAAATATTATATTTGTGCATTTTCTTATTTATATATTATTCAATTTTTATTTTTGTTATAAAGATTACGTTAATGAATTTGTAACTTCATTTAGCAATGAGAATGAAAACTTCATTCATAACCCACCATTTTTTTAACCTGTTTAAGTATATAGAGTTTTTATTTAAAACTCAATTAATTTATCTTTTAACGAATTAATTCATTTTAGAATAAAGTGATAGTTTTGGTTACAACTTCATACAAAAATGGCGTTTGAAACATGTGCTGACTTTTTCTCTCGTCCTAACTATGTTTCTGTGTCTACAATTAAACTAAAAATTGTTCACATTCATTCATACCAATAACTTGGCAAGTGTTTATAAAGGAGCTGCATGCATAGTTTCTTTACGATGCATCACTAAAAAGGGCAAGGATGGAGATGTTCCATCGAAATATATATTATTTTCAAAGCTCGAATGCCACAAAACCTTTTATTCTTCAACAAAATCAACTCAACGAAGATGGCAATATCAGACATAGAATTAGAGAGTGGCAATCTCCATTTTTATAGAGTACATAACTTTGGCAGAGATTGCAACAATGAAAATCAGAATCATGCTGAGGATCAACAGAAGAATATTGAGCAACAATGATGAACCTAATCGATGATAGACCAATGGCCTAACAGGTTTCAAAGTCTTGTGTTAGGTAATGGAACATTTATTGTTGATACGCATGCAAAAGCTTTAAACCTACGGGCAATGTTCACCATAATGATAGGAAGATGATGTTATGGATTACATCGATCATGGAAAAAGTTCGTTTCATATTTGCATTGAAAACTTTAACGTTTATAGTGACAACTTGAATATATATCATTGCATGCACTTCGTTGTTATTTTGCATCACATTTTGGTTTCAACATATGATGTGTTTACTTCAAATTGTAATTTTAGAGGTTGTAAAACTATTGCCATTTCTGTTTTAAAATATATGATATTTTGGATATAATTTTTTTTTAAATATGTGATTTTTGTAAAATTTAAGATTGTATTAATAACTTTTTTTGTCAATTAGAAATATATTTATTATAGAGAAAAAAAGTTATTTAAGAATATTTTGATTAGAAAGAATATCAAGATGATAAGAATATTAATGAAAAAAAAATCAACAAATTTATTGAAAATAATGAAAAATAATGTTGATCTTATCTGTTTAACCTAATTAACCTTAAATTTTATATATTTTGAAATTAACGGAGTAAAATGTACTTCTTACTCACCGAAATATAAACATAAGACAGAAAGATATTGTATGATTATTTAAAATAAAAAAATAAATTTAAACTAATTTTACAATTTTAATAAAATCATCTTCAAAATATTCATTATTAAATAAAGATTATGTTTTTAAATGAACTTTTTTATTCTTATGTAACCTTCAAAAATGTTTTTTTTTTAAATCTAAAGCGTTCCATCAAAGAGTAATGAAATTGAAATAAATAAATTAATAAAGATAAGTAATGTTCTCAAAAAATGTGTTTCTTTAATATAATTATCCCAAGTTTTATAATTTATATTATTATTTATGAGTTTTACTCAACTTTAATTATTATTTAGAAAGTTTTGATTATTTACGAATAAACAAAGTTCTACCACTTATATAATTAGACGGATATTATTCTAACAAAATCTGAGTGGAATATGTTAGAGACGAAATGGGAAAATACAAATTGATTAATTAAAGACTTTTTTTCCAATCTCAACGAGGGTATATATAACCAATTTTTTTTTAAATCAAGGACAAATTTTTGGTTATCTTGTAGAGATGAAATATTAACTTGTTTTGTCTCTTACTATAAATAAAAAACAAAACTTTCCATCATGGCGACATGATCACTGTTAGGAGATTTGTCTCTTCTAGGACAAAAAGTTTACATTTTTGAGCAGTTGTTGAAAAACAAGACCAATAATAATGATAACGTAAACATGGGACGAAAATTTTTAAGAATTATAGAATATGTCGTGCAAGGAAGATGAAGACGACTCTCACATGCACATGAATGTTAAATTGTTAAATCTTGTTTATGATTTTTATTCAAACTCTAGCAATAATAATAATAATAATATTCAACAAATTATGAACTCATTAAAATAGAAATTATAAAAGAAAGTGTAGATTGGAACCTTGCACCATCATTCTGCATGCAGCTTTATGATTTCAAAAATGGGTGCAGGAAATGCCTTATATTTTGATTTCTTTGGGTACTCTTGGAGCTAATTTATCATAATGATTTTAAACGTTACAGCATAATTTTGTTTAAATCAGATATAAAATAATGCAAGAAAATTCTAAGAGGTTGTGTTGAGCAATAAACGTTAATTGTCACGAAAAGCTGCTTTTTGTTCCCCTATAAAATTAAGAAAAGGTCAATTGCATATTTTCTTTTTAGACGTTAAAGAGACATGGAAATAACTTTTTTAATACATTATTTTTAAATATTTTTTATATTATTTGATAACGTAGGCACAACAGATTCCCTAAAATAAAAGTGATGAAAGTCATCTTATACAGTTTGTCAAACAGTTTTTATTTTTATTTTTATTTTTTTGACAAAAAATGTCCAAGATATATTTTAAATGTAAAGTCAAATTGTGACCCTTGATAAACCTTAAATTCATAGGACACATTTAAGAAAGAGAATTTTATATTATTGTTGATCAATTTTGTTGATATTAATGTCTGTATCTTACCTCATTTTGTTGATATTAATGTTTGTATCTTACCTACATTTGCATTGAGCAGAAGAAAGTTAGCAGAAAGTTACAACATTTGACAACAACAAAAAAAATGGTTGTGTTTGTCAAAACATTACACAATTGAACATATATTCTCCAAAAGTTCTTAGTTCACCATATTGAGAAGTGGGATGTGTTTAAGAAATTTATATTTTTATCCTATAAATTTCATTTTAGACATCATTTAACATTGATTATCTAATATGTAATAGCAAACGTATAAATTTATAGAAAAACTTTATATTATTTATGTACTAATCAATATAGAAACAGTTTCTACTTTGGTTATTACATAAACTATTTAGAAAGGTTTTAAAAAGCTTTCAAACCAACTTTGCAACTCTTAAAAGTAATCAATATAGATCATAAAAATTGTTAACAAGTATACAATAGTAAGAAAATAACGTTGCCAAAGAAAAAATTAACCATAAAAATAAAATTAATTCTACATTTTTGTTTGATTATGTTTTCACGTAAATAAAAACATAATTATTTTCACTTAAGAGAGAATAACTCGTTTGAATGAAAATACTTAAAGAAAAAGAGAGAAAGATTGTCGCAACATTAATTTCACTTAAGTGATAATACCTTTTTTCAACTTGAATTACTTGTTTTGAACAAAATTTCATTAATTGCCAAACATATAAATAGTTGAAGGATCAAATAAGAAAAATATATACTTATAAAGACCACATTTAAATTAATTATTTATTGTTTGTATAATTATGTCAAGTTATTTAAGCATGTTGTAATTTTTCACGGACACACAACATTTCGCATCAAATCCTTAATTTATATCAAACACACATGTGAGTAAAATACTTTATTAATTTTTATAAAACCTTAGAATAATTGCTAAGTAGATTATGGTTTTTATTATATGGTTTAGATATTTTCAATTTGACAACCACTTTTATACACAAGATTGTTACATGACTTACACTAGTTTTAATTTTATACATTATAATTAATAACTTTTATACTTTAGTAGTGTTAGATCATTTGTTTATAATTGTAATTGATTAGATTATGTAAATTTAAATATCTTATACTTGTACCTTTGAATTACACTAGTATATAATTGTTAATTAGGTTTTAGGTTATAGTCATAATAGTTGATGATTCCTACACAAATCGTCCTACATAGTCATGACAATTCTTGATCATAATAGTTGTCTTTCGTTATCTATCAAATCTGTATGAGAATTTAGCAATAAATATGCAACAACAATTATATATGTAATCATGGCTGTTTGTTAACTATTTGCAATAATAATTCCTTTAACACCCATTTTCGTATCATCACTTGTTTGTATTATCACTTGCAAATCAACAACTATTGTTTGTCCTACCTTAAGCAAAAATTATAACAACAAAGA